TTTGATAATATATATAATATTAAGTATTTTAAATTCTTTTTATTTTAAATAATTAATTAAATTTATTTTAATTTAATATATAATATTATATGTAGTTTAATTAATAATAGAAAAAAAGTTTCTATTTTTTATTAAAAATATATATTATTTTATTAATAAATATTTTATTAAATAACTTAATATAATTATTATAAATTTTATTAATTTTATAAAAACTATTGTTAATAATTAATTTTAAAAGTTTAATAATAACTTTATATTTATTATATTTTAATATAATATTAAAATTAAAATAAAAGTAAATAAAAAAAATTAATTTAAATAATAATAATAAAAAAATACTTAGTATATACTTTATTTTATTATATTAATTAATGTAGAAATATTTATTTATATTTATTTTTAAATATAATAACATAATATTTAATAACTAATTTAAAATTACAGTTTATTAACCTTAAATTAAGTATTTCTTTATATATATTTATATAATATTTAATTTTTTTTAAGTTGTATTTATTTTATTATTATAAAATAATATAATAATAAAAATAAATTTTAAATAAATTGGTTTATTATATATATTTATATTATAAGTAATATATAGTAATTTAAATATATTATGATTTTCTTTATATTAACAAGTATAGCCTATACTAAATTAATCTTTGTAATCCTTGTGATATATATACTTTAAGCTATTTTATATTATTATATAGATAAGTATACACAACCTACTTACGCACTTTCGAAGAGAAGGAGTATTACTAGCTGTACTGAAAAGTGCCTCAGCTGTCTCGCCTATCTCGCTTGACATATTCATCGTCGATCTGACATGCATAATGTCAGATCGACAATGAGAAACACAATGCAGATCGACGATGATGGTGTCATATGTATGTCAGATCGACGATAAGCCCGCTACGCGAGATAAGCGAGACTCTAGCGCTGACAATAGGGGGTGTGAGGGGTGCAAATGTAACAGGAGTTAATGGCATGTTGATTATACTATTTAATAACAATCAGTGGAACCACATCACTATGTCAAAATGTAGAGTAGCTCACCAGCTCTTTGAGTATTATTTTGTCAAGGATATTGCCGTAAATTACTCTGTACAAATGCCTAATTAGGAAACTCGTGTTATCATAAGCTGCAGGTCTGACTGCGTTATATCTTCACAAGCCGGGGCATGCGCATTGGTTGGTTAGTTGTGTTTCGGTAGGAATAGGGAGAATCTATCAAGTATTACTCCTAGCTAGACAAGGTACGGAGTACCGGCTAGATTTAACTTAATTGTTTTAGGTAATAAACGCGAGAAAGCCTAGCCACTGCGTTACAGGGGTAAGGTAGTTAGGCTTTGAAGAAACAAAACCTAAGCCAGTATGGAGTGTATACGCAATAAATTAAAATTTGTCAATACTTTTATAGGATACAATTAGGTATCAATCACTACGATCAGCACTTAATATTTAGGAGCGATAGCTTATTAAGCTAGATTGTGCTAAGCTACATTATACTGAGATAAATCAAATGGGCGGAAACTTCAACTACTTTTGATCCAACTTGTATTCCGCTACTTTAACCCTCACCTTGTTAAGTTATTCACAATTAACACTCCATTATGGATACGTTAGACAAGCCCTCTATAGCTAGTCCAGGCTCGCCTGCCCTTTATGCCATTTCTACAACCGTTGCTTTGTACCTGGTCTATCGATGGCTACTGCCTAAGCCTATCCCCGGTATCCCATTCAACAAGGACGCTAAAAGCTCTTTATTGGGTGATATTCCCTCTATGGTCAAACATTCTATGAAAACTCAGGAGCTTCATGACTGGATAGTAGCACAGAACGTTAAGCTTCAATCGCCAATCATACAAATTTTCGCTCGACCATTCAGTAAACCATGGGTAGTCGTAGCCGACTATCAAGAGTCCAGGGATGTCATGCTGCGGCGCACCAAGGAGTTTGATAGGTCTTACTTCTGGAGCGAGGTTTCGGGATCGGTTATGCCCGAAAGTCATATTTTCAAACGAATCAGCGACGATCTCTTTAAACGACAGAGAAGATGGCTGCAAGGGCTTATGTCGCCTGGGTTTCAGAACAATGTTGCTGCTGCCCATATTTATAATGTTTGTTTGGACTTTATGCAACTCTGGGAGGAAAAGTCTAGGCTTGCCCAGGGTCACCCCTTTGCTGCTGCGCATGATGTGTATTATGTGGCTCTTGATGCCATCTGGACTATCGTATTTGGGCCTGAGTCTCCAGATGTACAAACAACAACGAGAGCTCAAGTAGAGCTCCTCTCGGCAATAAAAGACTTGCCACTGCCTCAGAGCAAGGACGCAGAGGTGGACATGCCTCGAGCGCCGTGCCCTGAAACTCTTCAGTCCATCATTGATATCACGGAGAGTTATGAGTTAACTGTCAAGTCTCCCTGGCCTAGCATCACCCACTGGATCTTGAGACAAACTTCCAGCACCTACAAGAAGGCTTTCAAGATTAAGGAGAACTTTATTGAGAAAGAGATAGCGAAAGCGATTCAGAGATTTCAAAGCAGATCCGAGGGGAACTCGGACATTCCTACTGCTAATATTAAATCTGCCATCGATGATATGATCGATAAAGAAACAACTTTGGCGGAGAAAGAACACAGACAGCCTGAGATTATGTCTAGGAGTTTCTTTGATGAGGTGTGTATTGCCTTACCTGAAGAGTTCGAACGGCCTATATTAACCTGCTGATCGTTAGATCTTAACACTCCTCGTCGCCGCGCATGACACTACCGGGACCGTTATCACTTGGGCCCTCAAGATCTTAGCTGATAACCCCGAAGTCCAAGATAAGCTTCGAGCCGAACTCCGCGCCATGTACTCCGAGGCCTACACTGAGAAAAGGTATCCCACCGTTCAAGAGATCAACAGTATTAGCAGCCATTACCGAGATGCTGCTATTGAAGAGATTATCCGATGCTCTCGCACCGAATCTGCCCTCGCCCGTACGGCTATGGTTGACGTGGAGCTACTTGGCCATCGAATCCCCAAAGGAACGGAAGTCTTTTTTATGGGCAACGGCCCTGGCTACTTTTCCCCTGCATTTGAGATCAAAGACTCTCTACGCAGTCAATCTTATCTCTCCGGACAGGACAAGGATAAGTTTTCCAGTTGGGATCCAAAGCACCTGGAAGTGTTTGACCCTGAACGATGGTTGGTTGAGGAGAATGGCCAGAAGGTATTTAACGGCACAGCGGGGCCATTGATTACGTTTGGCCTTGGGCCAAGAGGCTGTTACGGACGAAAGATGGCTTACTCAGAACTGAAGATTTTTATTACACTACTTATTTGGAACTTTGAGCTTCATCGATGTCGTGAGGAGTTAAGTGGATATAAGGCTGTAGATAAATTGGTACATGCTCCTCAGCAATGCTATGTAAAGATTGCTAAAGCTTTATAAAATAATATACAGATTATATTATAGAAGTATATTTATATTTAAGTTTATTAATATTAAAATACTTAATTTTATATAAAAGGAATATATATCTAAACAAATAGTTACATTATAAATTAAACTATAACTGAATGAATAAATATAATAGGAATTATTTGTACAATACATTTACTATAATTGACATTTTACATTTATAATAAAAGGGTGCTATAGTTTTTACAAGAAAATTTTATTAAAAAATATAATAACTTCTTTTAAGAAAATGCCCTAACTTGACCTATACAATAGGTATATAAACTGGACTAAAATATAAATCAAATTTCTTCTATTGCTACTATAAAATATAAACCTTTGCTTTCTATTACTCCCCCTTATATTTTTATTTAAATCTTTCTCGGGATCATGTAAACATTCACTGGGCCCTTCTCCCACAGAAGATAAACCTTACTTCGGCTATCCCAGCCCTCAGTCCCTTCAGCCAACTTAATGTCGTATTTCAATATGACACGAGCTAAGATAAGACGCATTTCAGAGTATGCAAGACTGTTTAGAATGTCAGTTAGGGGCTTTAAGCGCACAAGCCGATAAATGAATCATGACGTACTTCATGCCAACACAGTTGCGGGGCCCTGTAGAGAATGGCTGAAAGCACTCTCGTCTATCATTTGCGAATTTCGGATCACCGAGCCACCGTTCGGGAATAAAGTCATCAGGCTGCGTCCAGTATTTCGGGTTGCGGAACAAGGGCCATTGCCAAACTTCTACACATGTCTAAATTATGAGTTAGATATTGTAGTTCTCAATATATGAATACATGGCCGGTATAAGAAGGAAAGACATACATCTTCGGGAACATATTCACCAGCAATAGTAGCACCTCCTTCAGAAATGACTCGAGGCAGGCCAGTGACAACAGCCGGATGCACGCGCATAACCTCGTTAATAACAGCCAGCATATATTTGAGATGCTGCACGCTCGTAGTCGTAATGTCTTGCGCACTGTTGAAGGTTGTCCGCACCTCATGGGCCAGTTTTGCTTGGGCTTCTGGAAAGAGACCCAAGTAATAAGCAGCTGACGATAAGACTGTGGCTGTAGTTTCTGAGCCTGCAATAATCAGGATGGAAGCGTTAGCTGTAAGCTCCTCGAAAGTAAGAGACTAAAGACTGCAGTTAGTATTATGGATCTCCTGTATGAGTGCATTTGTTTAACTTACTTCTCCATTGCGACTTTTAGTCATTGATGCAATAAAATCGGGGCGAGTGGAATTAGCTTCGAGACGCTTTTTGACCTTCATGGCAGAGAGACGTTGGTTTTCAGCATGTTTAGTCGACAGGCCTTTGGGCATGAGGTATGGCATGAGGTAATTCAAGATGCGTCTAGGAATTATCCTAAGATACTTAAGGGCAGCTATGTGGACCAAGCTCTTGACAGTGCTAAAGATGAGTTGAACCCAAGGATCGTATGTGGAGCTCTGAAGACAGCCAAATGGTTCACCAAAGGACAAATCACCAATAATGTCAAATGTTGTATAATTGAACCAGCGGACCATATCAATCTGCTGGGTTCCATTGGCGCTATGTTTCTCAATAGACTCCATAAGTTGGTCGATATATTCCTGGATGATAGGCTCCTGATCGAGCATGGCCTGGTAAGAGAAGCCGTTTGCTAAGCTCCTTCGGTAGCGGGCATGGTCGGCACGCTCGGCACCAATAATGTCTTTTAGATGAAATTCCCGACCCATAGGTTCTTTTGGATGTTCTGGCTGCCCGGCCTTCCGGTGACCGCGGATGTCGTTCATGGCATCAGGGTGGCTAAAGGAAAGGGAGTTGGGAGAAATGCGAACAACGGGGCCATACTTCATGTGAAGATCCATAACAGTGAGGTAACCTACACCACTGACGAGAAGGCGATAGTAGGGATAGTAAGATAGAGCTGACAATTTGGGGCCTGGAAACCTGTGCAAAGGGTGCAAATAGAGATTGTAGATACAGCGCCAGAAGAAGTATCCAAAGCCCTAGATGATAACGCTAACGCGTTAGTAGATGGCAAAGTATCTATTGTATTAAGACGATGAAAGATAATGAGTCTATAGCTTAATAACTTACAAATGCTACAACAGCGAGTGGAAGAGCCAAGCTAAGCTTGACTGGGATGACAACTTTTGCGCCACCGTTGCCGATGAGAACGTCCATCGTGAAAAGCTTTCGAAACTGCTTTTATTTTCACCAACTGTATTTCCAATAATTTGAAAGGTGCTATGGAAAGAGGGAAAGAGCGAGTGCAGTATCTGCTGGTCCAGGGAGTGTCAGACAACACTTTATAGAGTGGAGTAGAGATGAAATAACCCATGGGCCACCGGCCCATTAGCCGTTGTGGGTTATTGGGTAAATAATGGATGGCAGCTCCGCAGTAAGGCGGAGACAGAAATCTTACTGCTTGATATCTTTTACGGGTAATATAAACTGTTACTTTATTATAGTATAAAGTACTTATATAAGTAACTTAAGTGCTAAAATACTGTACTTTATAACTTCTGCTTTATAATTAATCCTTTGGCCTTACGTTCCTTTAGGTATTTACTTTTTAAAGTTATATAAAGGCAAATTTATAATAGTTTACTTGAATGTATTATTTTTGTTATTAATATATCTTTATTATTATGTTTTTACTTACCAAACTTATTAATGTATTTTATTATTATGCTTTTACTTACTAACATTATTAATATATTTTTTTATTATATTTTTACTTACTAATATTAATTTAAAATAATAAAAAAATATTACACTTTTTAAGTTTTATACTTAAGTTTATAAAATATTAATTATAATATTATATATAACGTAATAAAATAAAAAAAATATAAAACTATATATTAATAACTAAGTATTAAGTTTTTTAATATAAACTTATTAGTAAATTTATATATACTAAGGAAATAAATTATTATTTAGCTAAATAATATAATTATAATATATATATATATTTATTATAAATATATATTAAACTAATTGCGCAAATACAACTGCTTATGTAAAAAACATTTAGACATATATTTATAAAATAATAGTTATTTTAAAATACAAAATGTAAATAAATATTCAGTATTATTAATAAACACCATATTCTTTTTATATTATGTATTTAAATTAAGAAATTATCTATATACTACTATGTGACGGGTTGAAGTTTTCTTAGGCAGGATGTAGTGCACTGTGGGGTTAGTCGTTACTTTTGCTCCCCCACTGTACAACTGCCTATATAGCTCTCTTCACCAGGGCTCCTGAGTCGCAGTGTTTGGTTCAGCCACCCACTTTGTATTATCTCTTGTTATAAAACTACTACTTACCTCTATTATATATACATACCTTCTCAGATATGCGCTGCGCCCAATCCTATCCAGTTTAGCACTTTGCAACGATGACTGTGTCCGACTCTAATAATGTGGTCTTAGGACTGCGTCTCTCCGACACCCTAATAGTGTTGAGCGGGACGATGCTCAGTCTATACCTTCTCTATCTCTGGTTGCTCCCCAAGCCCATCCCCGGCATTCCTTACAACAAGGAGGCAACATCGAAACTCTTTGGCGATATCGAGTCTATGGTCAAATACACCTCCGAGACGCAGGAGCTCTACCAATGGATTATAGAGCAGAATATCAAGCTTAAATCCCCTATTATCCAGCTCTTCGCTCGTCCTTTTAGAAAGCCATGGGTTATCGTAACAGACTTTCAAGAGACTCGAGATGTTATGCTGCGGCGATCGAAAGAATTCGATAGATCTCCCTTCTGGGGTGAGGTATCTGGCTCCATCATTCCAGACTGCCATGTCCACATGCCGACCAACGCGCGTTTCAAGCGTCAGCGACGCTGGCTGCAGGGCCTTATGACTCCTGCTTTCCTCCATGATGTAGCGGCTTCTCACATCTACGACATTTGTTTAGACCTGATCGAGTTGTGGGACCAGAAGTCAAGACTTACGCAAGGTCGCCCTTTTGCTGCTGCAGATGATGTGACTTATATTGCATTAGATGCTATATGGAGGATCGTTTTCGGCGCAGAGTCATCAGTCAGTACAACTAAGAACCAACTGGAGCTATACTCTTCTATACAAACAGTGCATCTCCCCGAAGACCCGAATGCAGAGGTTATACTGCCCCGAGCCCCTTGCCCCCCTCAGATCCAATCTATCATCACTTTGGAGGAGAGCGGAGAGACAAGCCTCAAGTCTCCATTCCCCAAGATCGCCCATTGGTTCATAAGACAGACATCAGGCTACAGGAATGCATACAATATTAAAGAAAAGGCCATCAGTGATGAGCTGAGCAAAGCTTTGAGAAGAAGGGAGGTAGTTAAGTCTGAGAAAGATCGAAAGGTCAACTCTGCTATAGATGATTTATTGTACAGAGAGAGTCTTTTGGCTGAAAAGGAAGGAAGAGCCCCTCAGCCACTATCACGCGGTATTCACGACGAGGTTAGTTATGAATGAATCAGAATGTGGCCACTTAACCCATAAGAATGGATGAACAACAACACCTTTCTGGACAAACCTTGCTAACTGGATGTCGGCGACACAGATTCTAGGGTTGCTTATTGCAGCTCACGATACTGCAGCGACAGCCATAATATGGGGCTTCAAGTTTCTGGCAGATCATCCCGACGTGCAAAACAAGTTACGTTCAGACGTTCGCGCAGCACACGCCACCGCCACAAACCAGAAGAGACTACCAACATGCCAAGAAATCGTTTACACGACCGTCCACTACAGAGACGCAGTGATCGAAGAGATTATTCGCTGCTCCCACACCGAATCCGCGCTGATCCGTACAGCCTTAGTAGACCTGCAGCTCCTCGGTCACCACATCCCAAAGGGAACGGACGTTTTCTTCATGGGCAATGGTCCCAGCGTGTCCTATCCCGCTTTCGACATTGAGGATTCCCTACGAAGCCAGACATACCATGCAGCAGCAGCTAAGGAAAACGAAAAGATAGGCAGGTGGGATCCTGAAGACATGGGACTCTTCCAACCCGAGAGATGGCTTGTGACCACTACCCAAGAGGAAGATGGGGGTAAGATTTTTAACTCAACCGCTGGGCCGCTGTTGACTTTCGGACTGGGTGAGAGGGGATGCTATGGACGGAAAATGGCCTATGTGGAGATGAAGCTCTTTATTACTCTGATTGTATGGAATTTTGAGCTGCAAAAGTGTCCTGACGCGATGAGTAGCTACGCTGCTGTTGATAAGCTGGTTCATGCACCGCAATACTGTTTTGTTAAGCTCAGGAAACTACCTGCATAAATAGGACAGGGAAGTCACTTTACTTTATTAACTTACATTAAATTAAAAAGTTAATTTTTAATTTACTCTTAATTAATCTATTGGACTAGTTTTTATCTAAAGACGCCTACCTAATAGGCTTATTATTATAACTATAACAGTTAAATTATAACAAATTAGTTAAAATTATATCTCCCCAAACATACTTAGCATTATTTACACTTTGTATTACAGATATAAAAATTTTAAAAGCTTATCATCGTACTGTTTCTTAAGCTAAAATTATCCGCTAGTATATAAAATAATTACAGTTATAATAGTTTATTATACTACTGTTACACTAAATAAAGTAAAAGATCAAGCTAATTAATTATTATAGTATATACTACTCTATATAACAGAACTAAATGTTAATGAAAAATTAACTTACTTTAAAAAATTAAAATGTAATACTATAAACTAAATGATAGAATCCTAGAAGTTGTAGAGGTGTTAAGGGTGAAAATGGTGCAAATGGTGCAATAGTGTAAAATATATATGGTTATGGAAGGGGTAGAAAACACCACTGGGATACAACAATAATGTATGCATGATATGCGGGGGTGTAGTTTTATTTTATTTTTTTATCTGGTAAAAGCTAAAGAGTATGTACTTAACTGTAAGATTGCTAGTTGGAAGCCGTCAGCTTACTGTAAGCTTACAGCGCTAAAGGCTGGAGAGTCTGCATTTAGCTGTAACATTGTTAGTTAAAAAGCATAAGCGTGCTTTTAAATTACAAAAATAAAAGCTACTAGTGTATTTTGCAAAATGATATTTATAATATATAAATAAACTTGCAATTATGATATAACAGTTTAAAAAGTATTCTAAGATTTAAAATATTAATAAAATAAATACATTAAATATAAAAAAAACTAATTTATAATATAATATATGCTAAGTTTAAACTTTTATAATATAAAGTATATTAAATTTTATTTAGTTTTATAAACTTCTTAAATTATAAAGGAATATTTATAATATTAAAAGTATTATATATTAAATTATAATATAAAATATAATATAAACATCATTGTTTTTTTTAATATTAATATAATAATAATTTTTTTTAAATTATTTATATAAGTAATTATATTTATTTATATAATTCTTTTAATAAGAGTTTAATAAATTAAAAAGTTATAATTTCTAATTAACTTTAAAATTACTAAACATTTTAAAAGCAATATATATAGCTAAATAATTATTGTTTTATATAATTTAAATTTAAAAAATAAAAATAACATATTAATAGTAGTATTTAACTTATAACTCTAAGTCCTATTCCAATGCAAACAGGTTGGATGCTTAGGTCAAAAAATTTCTGAGTCTTCAACAGTCCCTCCTATCTGATAGGATAGCTACTAAAGGATATGAAGTCACTGTGTCATGTAGAAGCTTTCTGGAACTTGACCATCTCTCTCTCCTTTTCAATCAGTAGAAGAACTAATTTCTCGAAACCCTTTTGGGACACCCAGGCGGTAATTTCAAGACGTCATGGAGGAAGGACTAGAATTATCGTCATTCGACGATAACCTTGTCAATCGATCAGTCAATGTCAACCTATTACTTTTCTTTGACACCGTTCTTAATGCCGAGAGGCTTCATAGCACATTGGAAACACTGGCAAGATCAGAGCATTGGAATAGGATCAGTGCAGAGAGAAAGATCCAGGTAAGTCATAGATTAAGCTACAATAACCTATCTGCTATAGCGTTAAGTGGCAGAGTTAAAGTTTCGATTTGATACTAACCAGTTGTTCATTCTAGAATGGCCGGGTGGTTCTATGCCAATCTGAAAACCCAGATAGCTCAGTTTCACCCATTGAGTACATGAATACCGTGGAAAATCGCCGAATATTAGTGCACCCCAAAGTTGCCAAGCTTCTTGAAATAACCACTGTGCCGACTGTCCTCGGGACTATGAAAGATATTCAAGACATACTTTGTCTCTCAGTGAAGGGCTTTGAGAAGCGGCTGGATAAGCAGCTGGGACTGCACGTCGTCTCTTTCTTGGACGCTACTTCCATCATTCTCCGCTGGCATCATACGTTATGCGATGCTACGGGGATGAGTTTGATCGTGCAAGCATGGACTGCGTTGCTGAGAAGCGATCCTGGAGGCATTCCCAAGATCATGAATACCAACGTAGATCACTTGGCTGATATTGGCCGGAACCCACCTGAGCCGCACTATCTCGAGTCTAAGAGGATGACTTTCATGGGAACTATGGCCAAGTTGGCCTACGAAAATATAGGGGGCATATTCACCGGGTTCGAAACAAGAGCCGTGTGTCTCCCGGCTGCGTTTCTCAAAAAGTACAGGGCGCACGCGGAGGCCAATCTAGACTACTCTGGCCAGGGACACAAGCCCGAGTTCCTCAGCGACAGCGACTTGATAAGTGCATGGTGGACCCGTTTGCTCATATTCTCTCAAACCTCCACGCCATCAGACGTATCTGTGGCAATCAACAACGCAGTCTCCTACCGGTCTGCGCTACAGCCTGATCCACTTCCCGAAAGCACAAACTTCCTCCCCAACGCGGTAGGCTTTGCAACAGCCATGATTACTGCTAAAGACGTTCTGGAAAAGAACGTGAGCTACATCGCCTGTGCAGTCCGGGACTCAATTCTGAAATCGAAAACCAGAGGCCAGGCAGAGGTGTGGGGGGCATTGCTTCGAAACTCACCGCAGCAGATGTTCCCTCTGTTTGGTAGCGCGTCCACCTACCTCGTGTTTATTACGAACTGGTCCAAATCTAACTTCTTGGCCATGAACTTTTCTGCCGCAGAAGCGGGAGATGTAACAAAAGATAATATTGGGCAAGTGGGAAGCGGCTTGCCCCGGATCCTTGCAGCTTGGCCGACGCCGAATTTTATGAATGGGATTATCATATTAGGGAAAGATTCTGTGGGCAATTACTGGGTGAATATTACACTGACGGCGAAACTTTGGAATAAGTTCGTACCTTTGATGGAGAAGGAAACTGAGCGTATCTATGCTACGACGGATTAGGGAATATAATCTAGCGAAATGTTAGCGAGTTGAGGCAATTGTAATCCGATCTTATAGATAAATAGCTAGGGTTTAGTTTATATGTAAAGCTTATAATAATTGTATAGTTATAAGTATATTAGCTGCTGCGCAGAGGGTAAGCTATAATCCATTGGATTACGCCCTTTTTGGCGATGCACGAACAGAAGCACGGCTCAATAAATTACGGCCCGTGCATGCAAGAGGCGAGGGGGTACAGCTCGATGAGTGCAGGGGATCTCGTACGCTCGATGGACGATTGGAACATTGGGTTAAGGGAAATAAACGCACGGGAATAAATAATATGCTGCTGCTGCCGCTGCTGCTGCTGTAATAAAGTGCGTATGAGAAGGGTTATTCTGTAGGAATAACTAACTTATACTCACTATGCAAAAAAGTAGTTTATTACAATAGGCTAGTTACCTATAGTAGCTTTTAACTTTCCAAAGTAACCTTTTACTAACATTAATAATATTAAACGTTATCCTTGCGTTAAGGGGCAGTGGCCAAGTTTTCTATTTACGGAGTAACAAGTTTTCAAAGATGTCGTACGTATAATATTCTGGACTCTATATTGTTCTTTGTAAGGACACAAATTGTTTAGGCCCTACAAAGTCTACCGTTTGCGTCCAAAACCCATGCATCACTTCCTACAAGCTTAAGTCCGTATAGTAAACCACTGGGATCCCACTTATTTTTGATCCGCAGCAATTTGTCATAGTTTTGCCCAAAGAAACTCTCCTTCCAGTCAGTTAACTCCCATCCAGCCTCGTTCATATAGCTACCACCGCCAGGGGTAATCTCTTCCATCATAGGCACTAGCTCGTCAGAGAGCAGCGCTTGAGCTGCTATACCCGCTTGCCAATCCGATTCATTAAATGGAAGCTGAAGTTCTACATGAATGGAAGCGTCTCTCCAGGCAGGGAGGACCGAATTATTTGGATAGTTGGCTGGGCTAAAGGAACCAGCGAAACCAACTGCCATTGCCCCAGTAGCCACGATTTTGGCTTCAACTTCAGGGAAACTATCTCCACTTTCGAGCACAGTTCTTGGAATCAAGCGACTGCCATAAGTGTTGGACTCAACTGGGAAGAATCCATATGGTAGGGGACCCCAATGCGCAGTAAAATAATTCTTGTACGTATCGTACGTATCATAAGTTATGTCAAGTACGAGACCAAGACCATCCACGACACTCTGGAACGGAGCAAGAACATCTCTCACATAGTCGATTGTCGCGTTGAACACTGTGAGGGGTGTGAGAAGGAAGCTATCAGCAGTGTGCAAGTAAATTATGGAGGCTCCATTGTCCGCCATTTGGGGTATCAAGCGAAGGAAAGCCGCGACCGTTTTTGCATAGTTGTCCGAACTTGTACTGTTGGCCAATAGCGTGAAAGAAGCGCCACTGGCAATAGCGGTTGGGTGAAGTTTAATCACAGCGCTTGTAACGATGGCGTATGTCCCGCCACCACCTCCACTGAGGGCCCAGTACAAGTCTTCGTTATGACCAGGCTTTGCTGTTACAATATCTCCGCTCGTCGTCACGGCTTCCCACTCGAGCACCTGATCAGCCCCTAGGCCAAAAGCCGTAGAGAGAACCGAGAGGCCACCCCCTTGTGAATAGCCACCAACGGTGCCTACCGTTGGGCATTCACCAGTAACGGCAACAAGGCCATGGGAATCAGCCGTTTCAAGCATTTGTGCACCAGAAACTCCGGCACCAGCCTTGACAGCTGGCCCCGTATAGTAAGGGGAGGAATACCGAAGCACCTCAGTAGTTTTAAGGTGATATGTCCAAATAGCAAGAGAATCTGCTCCAGTTGAACGTCCAAGTAAGCTGGTAGGGGCATTAGCGTTTTCATGCGCTTGACGATATTAGGGATTTACTTACTCGTGCCCAGTGTTACGAACTATGAGGCGAATGTTATTCTCTTTTGCGAACTGCACAGCGGCCACGATATCGGCCGTCGTGGACACATTTACGGCGTATGATACATAATTTCCCAAGGTACACGAAGTATCCTTGGCCGTAAATGGCGAGCAGCTGTTATTAGCGAAGAATGGCCACATGACGGAAGATGACGATAATAAGCTTAAATAGTTAGAAATCATTAGAAAGTCAAAAAGACGGGGTACTGGCAGCTCACTGAGTCTGTGGCTCGGTCCAGTCATCGCGTAGTATGGCGCAACTGGCAGCGTCGTACAGCGGATCATGGCAAGGTGAACCAATTGGCACTGTAGCCAAAAGTCGGCCATGTACCGTTGAATTTAGCTGTTTCCATTGGTCTGCGGAAGGCCAACATGAATCGCGCGATGTGCATCGACAGTTTCGGATGTCTTCTTTCACTGTTGAAGGCTTCTCACTTCCGGTGCTTGCGCTCACAGAAGCAAGAGCCAAAGGGAGAAGGGAGAGTGCGGCAAGCATGTCGCAATGTGCAACTATACTTGGAAAATATTGTGTGAAGAGTGAGCAGTCAGGAACAATCAACAGCCAATTATGCCAGTCCTGTTAATTATAAGGTTTTATCTCAATGCTGTAATCACAGTGCAACTGACCCATAAGCTAGGGATGGTCCTTTTGTAACAGGCGGTGTGGACGGTGCGAAAGGTGTAGAGCACGGACGGTGTTTTGGTTTGATTTAGTTTGATTAAGGTTATTTTCCGCCTTGTGGCCTGTCAGCTAATAGCTTCACCAGGTCTCCCGTGGGGCATAAGGCGCTCAACGACGATCTAGTAATATACCGCCCTCCTATACTACCAGTTATAGATTGACAGTGCTAACTCGTAAGTGACATTTTCGGCTATCGGGTCAGCGGCAAACGCATACGTGCAGGATTCCAAGTCCTTGCCAAATACGGGTTTCCCGGTCAGATTCCGCACCCCCCCTACCGTCGCTGCCGTGATCCGGAGCGTCAGTAACTGCTTCTCCGACCCGTAAGCAAAAACAGCAGTTAGCGAAACCCCCTCATAATAAATAACTATTTATTTCAGAAAGGAAAACCCGCCTGCAACTAGTCCAGTTCCTTAAATAGGCCAGTATATAGTAAAATATTATGTGTAAGCACTATCATTAGTCAAAGGCTATAAAGTATAATTTTTTTTAGTTTTATAAATATTTTCTACAGCAGCTAAAAAACATAAGTTAATTTACATTTTGAGGTTATTTATTAAGCTATTTCCCTATAAGTATTTAACTAATACTTAGCTTTTAGAAACTGTCACGAACTGGCTCTTATAGTTACAACAATAGGCCTATAGGGTAGGCGGAAACAAATTAACTATAGACCGACCAGCTAATTAATACTATCGCTCCCCAGATCTAAAAAAGCTAGGAAAGCTAGCTTTCTAAAAAGATCTAAGGAAAGTTAAAAAAACTAACTTTCTATTATAATTTAAAATATATAACTAAATATATAAGTTTATATTTATATTACTTATTTAAATAGTTTAAATAGCCAGTTATAAATATAATATTTAAATTAAATCTACTTAATACTTTTTATTAATTAATAATAATATTATTTATATTATTTAAATATTTAGTTTAATTTATTCATTAATATAAACTAAAATCTAAATTTATTTTTTAAAAATCTTAATTTATATTAATATATAAGTTTATAGTTTATTATATATTTATAACTTTTATTTAAATAGTTACTTTAAACCCTTAAGTAATAATAAATAAAGAATTAAATATTAACTTATAACATTTTAAATATTAAAACTAATTATAAAAATAAAGCCTAAAGTAAATATTTAAATAGTAATATTAAATTTTAAAATAAATTAAATAAAAATAAAAAAAACACTATATTTTTAAAATTAATTATTATTTAATTTATAATAATAATAAAAGATTTTAAAAAAATTATTAAAAAATAATAAAAAATTATTAATAACTATAAAAATAAAAACTTTATTAAAGTAAAATAAAAAAGAAAAATTATAAAACTTAAATACTTTAAAAAATTTAAAAAAAACCTTAAAGACTTTAAGAAATTCCTTATAATAGTTTATATTTACTTTAAATACTTTCTAAAAACCTTAAATAAAACTAAAAAAAAAATAAAAATCTACTATATTAAATTTTAATTTAATAAG